GTTGAAAATAAAAAGTCAACAAAGAACAAGAAGAATAAAGTACTTCACAATCTAAAGAAGGGGATTTAATTCTTCAGGTCTTAGCAATGACTACTGAATGTAAAGTTATGTTATTTTTTAGTTAATAAATAGTACAAAATTTGACCTAAACAAAGTTCAAAAATTTTATTGAACTAAGTTTGTATGAAAAGGGTTATTATAATATTAAGGAATTTATGGATGATAATAACCCCTGGGAAGGGTGATCGCTACCAAGCTATTTCTAATTTGTTTTGTGTTGTTAATTGTAACATACATGATAGTAAGTTGTTATTTAAAAAAAAATTGTCTCGCTGGGGTTTCTTGCGGGTTCTTCCAAGGACAAAGGTTTTTACCAAACTAGTGGTTAATAAAAAGTGACTTTCAATAAGTATTATTATATATAATACTTATTGAAAGTTGAATTGAATAAAAAAAATTCTGTTTCTGTTTCAATTGAAATCGGCTATCACTTTTTGTTAAAAGTAATTTTTTCACTCTAGTTGCTTATACACCAAGAGTTTTATACTTACACGATTCAACTCAGGGGGGAGAAAGATAATTTTTTGGATAAATTATAATACAAGCGAATCTTATAAAGAATCTAACTTGTTCTCGGTAACTCAAAGGTTAGCTCCAAATAAGGCGCTCGTAACGATACCACAAATTGTTTGAAGTAATATGATTGACAATTAAATGCCCACACAGAAGGCATTAAAGAATTTTAATAAAAATAAAAAGTTAAATAAATTAAATATCACATGCATCCCTTTTTTACGTGGTAGAGTCATGCTGCAGCTACATCGTGGTTGCAACACGAATGGGTCGGCTCGACCGGGAAAGGACCACGCTCTCACAGAATACCAGCGTAAAATAGCACCTTAATGCTGCTGTGTTTCGTGTGGTGAGTATGTAAAACCACGCTGCAGTAATTTAATTTTAGCCATACATAATCGCCTGCTATATAACGCATTTGTTTTGTTAGTAAGGAGCCATAAACTGTACTAAAACCCAGATTTTTTTGTTTCTTCGAAAAAATGTCGCGAGTAAAAATGGAACTATCCCAGACGAAATTCAAAGTTTACACATCTCCTTCCTTATATAGCCTTCGTATTTAATTCGTCTGTTAGATTTTCTATTGGATGGCTATTTTAACGCTAATTTAATTTAAAATGTATCGACCGATTTTGTTTTCGACAGATGAGGATGGAACCAGAGTAACCGACATAGCCCAAAGGATAAATAAGCTGAAGTGGCAATGGGCCGTAATCACTTCAGCTTACTTATTCGAAGCATTACATTTTTAACCGACTTAAAAAGGAAGAGCAATCAATTCAACTGTATGCTTTTTTATTTATTTTTTATATAATTAGCGTGACAAACGAGCACACAGTCCACCTGATAGTAAGCGGATACTGTGGCCCATAGACATTTAACCTCAATTGAGAATCAAAATGTAGATGCGTTGTCACCCCTGAGGACTAACATGGATGAAAATATAAATTATCACTTTATTATGTGTGTTACCTCAGAACTTTTATCCGGGTGAATCGATTTTGATGTTGTGTCTCGTGTGATCCCATATAAATTTAATCAAGATCTGACCAGTATTTTTTGAGTTATCCCTAATAATGCGTAATTAATTGACTACGAACACATTGATGATGTTCACATTTTATTTATATTGAAGTTGGTTGTAATTTTTTTTATTTTACCACTTGTAGACTTCAGTGGTGACAACGCAACTGCATTTTGATTCTTAATAAAAGATAGATGTAGATGTCTAAACATAAACCGACGAAAAATTTTTTGAATAATTATTACTTACGTTGTCTTATATTTGTTTTGGAAAACATTTTTTGCCCACAAATATATCAGTAACTATTTTTATATGTTTTAATTTTTAAACAGTCTTAGCGATTAAATGAGGTTTTTGCACTAGCTACCTTACCACTCGTGTGGTCAGGCCTTCAGTACCTCATGTGTATCTATATATACAGTTAGGGTTGATACCTTTATTTCACAACACAATACAATACTATTTATAACACATAAAATGTGTAATAACAATCGATATTATTTCTAAACCACAATTTCTGTCGGACAACACACACAAGGAAAAAGGGAGAAACATAAATGTCTCATTTATTTTAGTGCAATAAAAATACACAGTTACAATTATACAGGAGAGCGATAATAATACTAAATGAGCATTAAAAGTACTGATCGAACGACTAGTGGGTTAAGGTGCGACTAAAATAAGAATATATAAAATAGTTATGACTAGGTAGATAAAGTTACAAATTTTTACATTCATAATTTATTCGTAGTAATCACGTTGAAATTTTGTTGCAAAACGAATATGGCGGCTCGACTGGTGAAGGACGGCGTTCTCACAGAATACAAGCGTAAAAGAGCGGCTAAACGCTGTGTGCTGTGTTGCGTATTGTGAGTGTAGAAAACTGGAGACCCTTTTTACTGGTATCGAAACGTTTTGTCTTAGTCGTCTAGACTACAGAATCCTAAGACTCAAAGGCCAGAGCCGTACTTGGTTAACATTTAACTATATATATATATATATATATATATATATATATATATATATATATATATATATACATATATATATATATATATATATATATATATATATATATATTATTTATGGTTTAATAGGGCGGCAAAACTTAAGATGACTACATAGTAGAGGCAGCCCTATCTCACAACAGGATTACTCACGCCTCACACAGTTTCCTGTACAACCGAACAAAGGATTGCAATTTGCGTGCAAACCTTAGTTAAATCTCACTTACGATCACGCGATCCATTCAATTAAAACACTTTTTAACCCTTTTGCGCAAACCCTTTCAATGCTTTAAATTTAAACTATAATCATACATTTGAGTGATTTTTTTTATTGAAGATTTGTGCTGATGAGCCGTGGGTTCGTTTGTCATTGTATTAAAAAAAGGACTGTCAATTTAACAAAACTACTTCTGGGAAGAACTTAGTTGGTAAGCATGTATTTCTAATAGTATAGATAACAGAATAGAATGGTTTTTGATTGACTTTGACTTGAATAGTATAGAAAGTAAATAAAATACGAGTAGTATATACTCGAAACACCATCCTTACCACCTGGATGATGGATGGTGACCTGGCGGTCCACTATTGTGCGTTTTACAAGAAGTTTTCTTCCTCGCACAACTTCTTTGTGGAATCGACTACCACCAACTATGTTCCCGGACCGATACGACTTAGTGACCTTCAAGAAAAGAGTCTAATATTTTAAAAAAGGCCAGCAATGCATCTGCGATTCCCCAGATATTGCAGTTGTTCATGGGCGGCGGTGACTTACCGTCTGGTGAGCCGTATGCTCGGTTGCATATAAAAAAGTATATAAGTGAATAAGCACGCAAATTAAGTTAATAAGAAGAGAATATGGGAAATGCCAGAAGTCTTATGTGTTCCTATAAATGGCAATATAACTAAATAGTTTATCCTAAACGTTGTGGAGTCATACTGCAGTTATATTACAGTTGAAGCACGAATGGGTCAGTTCGACTCCAGGTCGACCGGGGGAGGACCACGCTCTCACAGAATAACAGCGTAAAATAGCAGCTTAATGCTGCTGTTTTCCGTATGGTGAATGTAGAAAATCGGAGATACTTTTCACTGGATATCAGGCATTCTATCTTAGTCATCAGGTGTGACAACGCATCTGCATTTTGATTCATCTACTTACACAGTATCTACTTACTACGGAAACATTATTCCGTGTTTCGTATGGTGAGTGAAGAGAACCCTTTTTCATTTTAAAAATTAAATAGAAGAACGAAGAAAAATGGTACTCCAAAATGATGCAATGCTATGTAGTTTTATTTTCCAGCTATCCTCTATGTAATAAATGTTTTTGGCTTTTATCTTCTGCGACTTCTAAAGCATTTTAGTTTACTAATCAGTATTAGTTATTTGCCTCGAACTTAGAAATAATTACGCTTGACTGGTAACTTCAGAATACAAGGATAATATTTGACGCTGTTCACCGCAATGATTAGACCGCCATCTATCGGAAACATGAGATATTAATGTATTGTTTTCATTCTTATTTCGTAAATGTGTTCATCGAATAAAACTAATTTTATGGGTTTTATCTCATTCATATTAACCTATCTTTAATTGACTACTGATTCACTTTAAATTACTTCGTTTAGATCTAGTCCGCGTACGGACTGGAAAGTGCTGTAAAGCACCTGAAATTTTGAAAATATATATATAATAAATCAGTAAAATTATTTTAATCAATTAATATTGTTTTATATGTCAATTAACATATGCGCCATCTGTTGATCGATTGAAACAATTGAAAGTTCTTAATATATCATCGTTACGGAATAAACAAAATATAACTTACTTACTAGAAACTTACTAGAAAAAGGCGAGAAATTCGCTGGTAATCCCAATATACGCTTTCTTCGCGGATCCAGATTGAATTATTGTATAGTATCGTTAGCACCAAAACTATACTGTCACTTAAAAATAAAATACAATTTCACTAATAATTATATTTTAAAAAATCGATAAAAAGTTGTCTGTGATTCGTCGACGCAGGAATAGCGATTTCTTCTAGAGTCCTTTGTTAGCGTCGGGTTTCATTGAAGGTAAGATTTTGATCAGCACTTGAATTTCCGATCACGCATCGCAGGTGTCCGACTCTAACTTCTTGTACGTTTGTACTGACAATTTCGGTATTCCATTGCATTTAAGGGCGTCGAGCTCATGAATAGTGATTAAGAAATACGCAGTAATCATATAATGGGCTATTTCCATTCTACAGTTCATCAATACAAACGAATACAGCAAACTATCGGTCTTTAGTTTTAATTTAAACTATGCACCATGTAGTGCATAGGTGCAACATAGCGCATAGTTTTACTACTTGCATATAAATTACTCTATAACGAAAAAGCCAAATAGTCAGATTAACTGGCTTCCTGCTTTCCAAGTCCCGGTGTTTTTAATCTCAGTTTGAGCCAGTATTTGGGCTTAATTATTAATTTTTGAGTGTGCTATACATCAGAATTATATAATCGTACTGATTATATAATTCTGATAAGATTTGTTTGCTGATAGTATCCATTCTACAACTGCATTACGTTTTTTGTTATGATATAGGTAATTTTAGTGACGTTGTAAGAGAATTCACTGGTTCACATCATCCCGTGTTTGTGTAAGAGGCGACAGAGGGAAATGAAATAGGCGATGGGAAACATCTTGGTAACAATTCAAAACTAAGGTTGCCGATCTGCCCGCAAGCGTGACATCTCCGGCAACTATCCTCCTGTAAAACGACCTATGTAGGAGCCCTAGTTCAATAGTAAACTTTTCAATGACCATAATAAAATATTAAATTAGTATTTTGTAAATAAAAATAACATAGAATTTAAAACGAACAAGAAAGCCAAAGAAAACCACGTTTTTAGTAGGGTAGTTTCCTTCATTTATTTATTTTAATTATTGTTTGTTGTTATAACAGCAACAGAAATACAAACTTTCTGTGAAAACTTCAACGGTTTATCATTACGGATCATGAGACTGCTCGCTGACGGGGAGACAGACAGCGGAGGCTTAGTAATAGGGTTCCGTTGGTTACCCTTCGGGTAAGAGACCCTAGAAAAGATTAGTTTTTGAATCAATACTGATATATTTACACAATAAAATGAAACCAGATGTCAAATAACAGAACAAAGCCAATCACGATTCCTCTGTATGTGTCCGTGTTTTCAAAACTGCATATAACATATTGGGTGATGGTAAGTGGCTACTGGAGCCATATATAATAATATATAATGAATGAAATACTTGTTATTCGACGAATTTCAATCCTTTTGAAAATTATAAGTCCAGAAATATGTATCTAAGAACAGAAGTGACATAAGGTGCGAGACATGTGTTTCTTCTTATTATTATGATACCAAAGTGTGACATTAACGGACTTATCCATCCATCTCGTGAGAGCTAGTAGCACCAAGGAGCAGGCGATTATGGATTCAACGGCATAATAATCGACCACATACCTTTGCATGTATGTGGTCGATTATTATATTGAACTGAAGCCAACTGAACTGTATTGACAAAATCCTTTGAATGGTTTATAAAAATTACCGCCATCAATATTTATTTTGGTAAATAATTCGATGATGGCACAATTTTAGATGATATAAAATTAAATATAGATAGTGTGTCTATATGTAAATAAAAATTAAACATGGGAATATAATATTAACTTATTGAGTTTTATAAAAAAATATTGAATTATATAAATATATTGATAGTACCTTTTTTCTTAGGAACTTATTTCAAATTCATGGGGACTATTACGACATTGACAAACTAATCAAATCATAGAATGCACGACCTTAAAGAGGTCGTGTAAATCGCAGAAGCCCATAAATGCACCTACGCAGTAGAACAATGTCGACACAATACTTCACAGAAGCGTGCATGCAAGAAATAAACGGACCTTATTTAAATATTATTTAATTTCATATTGCATACTGACCGCGATACGTGGAACCGATGGTAGGCCTCGTGACTTGATTCAGGATGCTCTGGTGGGTCACTGACACATCGATCGGAAGCCCCTGGAGATCTTGGCGGCATGTTTTCTGTTGAAGCAGAATAAATTACCTCATGTAGTTGAAGTTATCAAATATCCTATAAGGTTGTTTTATAATAGCGCCATCTGTTATAATGTTCATAACTTATTAGAAATTACGTTCGCGTCGAACTGCCTTTCCACAAACTTTTAACCGTAGTACTTGCTTATTCTAAAAGATGGCGCTTTGGCTAAATATATTTATTTTGTATGAACGAATCTACTTACGGAATACTAAAAATCTAGGCGATAATGTAATAAGTCAAAGCAAACATCTCATATTTCTATAAGTTTTAAAATATTACCAACTTACGATATTACATCACATACAATTTCCTATAATATTACTAAGTGCCTATAATTTTAAATGTTTCTTATTTCTAATTGCTATTCATTAATAATAATGTACGATATTATATCAATGTGTATAACTTACAGATCTTTACCCCTTTTTGAAGTAGGAAAAGAGTTTGCTTTTATACCTGCACTAATTAAGACACTTATGAGTTGTATAAAAATATTAAATACAAACTGTCTGCATTAATATTTGTTGATCTAACTACATAATTTGAAAGAAGTGGTAAAACCAGTTTAAGCAATGAGACTTCCTTGTAGATGATCTCAGGGCGTAACATCCCGTCGAGGCAACCCGGAAAATGTGGAATTAAAAAAAGTACCTATTTTATTATTTTACCGTTCCAAAAATTGTGTTAAAATAGCCCAGGCTATCTTCCGTTTTAAATTATCAAGTTTCGATCTGATTTGCGTTTACTATATCTTGAAATCCTTTCTTCCTCTGTGGTGCCCATTGGAGGCAAATCTCAGCCATGGTTTGGTCGCTCCTGTAAAATAGCATCATGCTATAAGCGGGAGTGCTACCAAGCCTGGGCTGACGCATCAACGTCCCGGGATGTAAACACCAGCGCTCTAAAAAAGAAGTATAATTCCGCCTCTAGGTCTTTCAAAAGAGTAATTGCCAAGGCAAAGTCAGAGCACATAGGCAGAATTAGTTCGCCTTCCTTCTGGAACCCGTGCATTCTGGTTTTTCGCCAAGGCTGTCCAGGGGAATTTCTGTCAGCCATCTCTTCGGTATCTGCTTAGGGCGGACGACTCACTGGCCCATACCGCAAAGGAGAAAGCCGATCTGCTAGGCTCTTTCTTTGCGTTCAACTCGACTCTTGATGACGGGGGCAGTACGCCGCCGACCATCCCGCGGTGTGAGTGCTCCATGTCGGAAGTGCATTTCACACAGCGCTCGGTTCGCAAAGCACTCCTCTCCCTGGACATCCACAAGTCGAGTGGGCCTGACGGAATCCCCCCAATTGTACTGAGGACGTGTGCTCCAGAGTTGGCACTGGTTTTAACGCGTCTTTTCCGGTACTCTTACTCCATAGGCGTAGTCCCAAAACCATGGAAGACGGTTTCGTTCACCCGATCCCTAAAAAAGGCGACCGCTCAGACTCGTTCAACTACCGGCCTATCGCCATCACCTCCTTGTTCTCCAAAACAATGGAGTCCATTGTAAATTGCCAGCTCATGAAATAGATACCTTGAGAATCACAAGCTGATTAGTGATCGCCAATACAGTTTTCGCCGTGGTCGATCAGCTGGTGATCTTCTGGTCTACCTAACTCATAGATGGGCTCAGGGAGTAGAGTCCAAGGGGGAGGCATTGGCCGTTAGTTTGGACATAGCGAAGGCCTTCAATCGGGTTTGGCACAAAGCGCTTCTTTCGAAGCTCCCTTCCTATGGGCTTTCCGAGTAATTGTGCGATTGGATCACCAGCTTTCTTGAAGATCGGAGTATCAAGATCGTTGTAGACGGTGCAAGCTCCGATTACAAACCTATTAATGCTGGTGTTCCACAAGGCTGCGCGCTATCGCCAACGCTGTTTCTTCTGCATATCAATGATATGTTGTAAACCCGTAACATTCATTGCTATGCAGATGACAGCACTGGTGATGCTCTTCACACCGGCCGTGCCAATATTTCTCAGGAAAACATCTCCGAGTACCGGGACAAACTTGTGTCTGAAGTCGAGTCTTTGCTGAAAAGAGTCTCGGATTGGGGGCGACTAAATCTAGTCCAGTTTAACTCCCAGAAAACACAAGTTTGCGCGTACCCCTTTGCTGTATCCCCTCAGTTTCAAGGCACTCCCCATTTTGTCTCAGCCAGTATCGGAATCCTCGGCGTCGACATATCGAGTGACGTGCAGTTTCGTGGTCACTTGGAAGAGAAGGCCAAATTGGCCTCTAAAAAGCTTGGCGTGCTCAGCAGAGCGGGACAGTATTTCATGCCGGCACACCGCCTACAACTTTATAAGGCGCAGGTTCGGCCGCACATGGGATATTGTTCCCATCTCTGGGGCTCCCCAGTACCAGTTCCTTCCACTTGACCGCATCCAGTGCAGAGCGGCTCGAATCGTCGACGACCGAGTGCTTTCCGATCGGCTCGATTCACTGGCGCTGCGAAGAGATGTTGCTTCTCTTTGCATTTTCTTTCGCATATACCATGGGGAGTAATCCGAACAATTCCTCAGAGCGAATTAATATTCCAGCCCCCAAATTTCGTGAACGCACTACGCGGCAAACGTCCCGATACCACCCACACCATCTGGATGCTTGGCGGTCCACCACTGTACGTTTCAGAAGGAGTTTCTTCCGCGTACAACCTCTCTGTGGAATAGTTTACCACCGGCGAATTTTCCGGACCGATACGACTTGTGGACCTTCAAGAAAAGAGCTTACTCCTTTCTAAAGGACCGGCAACGCACCTGTAATTACCCTGGTGTTGCGGTTGATCATGGGCGGCGGTAGTCACTTAACATCAGGTGATGCGGCTCACCTGATGTTAAGTGACTACCGCCGCCCGCTCGTTTGCCCTCTCTTCTATAAAAAAAAAGTCTTGCAGTGATATTTCTGGGTTGAGAATTTTATTATTTGTAGAATCCTAAGTTATTTTATCATGTTAGTAACCATCATCTCTATTGAAATGAGCATATTTTTAATTTCAAAGAATACCAGCGTAAATAGCAGCTCAGGCTGCTGTGTTTTTTTTTGGTGAGAGAACGTTGTTAGTGAAGACGAGGCATTACTTAGTCCTCAGGGGTGACATCGCATCTGCATTTTGACTCTTAGTCGACTATAAATGTAGATATATATGGGCCACAGTGTCCATCCATTTACCACCAGGTAGGCTGTGTGCTCGTTTGTCACCCTTATTTCATAAAATCCCTATGATTTTAATTTCGATTTCAAGTCTCTTCGTAAGGCTTAACCTTAATGTTTATTGTTTGAGCTCACCTGCAGTTCACAGTTGTCGTCGTTACTTTGATCTCGGCTCAGGTTGATGTTCTTTGTTTGCATTTTCCTCCCCCCGGGGCCTCTAGGGCTCCACCTATAGCAAAATGATATCATCAGAGAATTTACTAAAATCATAATTATTGGCAGGTGTAACAATAGCTAATTATTGTACTATGTATTTCTGTGTCCATATCTTATCATTCATCTGTGTATTAGTACCAGTCCTTCTCGCAGTGGCTTAGCAATGAGCTACGTCGCTGAGGGCCGCAGGTTTGAACCCCGCACGAAACAACTACAAGTAATTGTAGTTGTTTCGTGCGGGGTACGGGGGCCTACAAGTAATTGTCCGGGACTGTTTGTTCTTTTGCAAATTATGCATGTCAACTGCCTCTACAATACAGGACGAAAATCTAGTGCGAAGAAATAAAAATAAAGAAACGAAAAAAGCACCGTTTGCATATTAGCAAATGAGTCAGCAATGTGTGTACTTAGTACGTGAAAGAGCCACGCTGCAGCTATATTATGGTTGTAGCACGAATGGCTCAGCTCGACCGGGGAACGATCACGCTCTCACTGAATACCAGCAAAAATAGCGGCTTCATACTGCTGTGTTTCGTATGGTAAGTGTAAAGATGCGGAGACCCTTTTAACTGGAAACAAGGCATTCCATCTTAGTCCTTACGGGTGAAAACGCATTCACATTTTGATTTTTAATCGAGGATAAATGTAGATGTCTATGGGCCACAGGAACCACTTACCATCAGGTAGACTGTGCGCTCGTGTGTCACCCTTATCCTATATAAAAAAGATCAACTGTAAGTTTGTGTATTTCATAGATTAATAAAACAAAATTACCGAGAAACATAAGATCCTTGTGGCATTCCCCATGACACCAATGGGATGAAATGGGATGATTAAATTATCTTACGGCGCCATATCAAAGCAGTAAGGCACTACTAAATATAAATATAACTATCTAATCATTTAAAAATGCATATCGTATATAAAATTCAATTTCGTAGAATTAATTTCGTATAGTAAAGAATAGCATCTAAGTAATCAAGTCTACAAAGAGAACGTTGGTCTATTTATGTCTGTTGCACTTCAATTATTACGTAGAAGCAGCCGCATCGATCGGTGTTCAGGAAACTTGCGTACTGAACACTATGAGCCGTGCACACTGTCAATTTGTGGTATTCTATATTTAGACGTAATTCATCAAATCAATTCTGTGGACGAACTATTCTATACAATATTGTTCACACCAAATCCATAATAGAATGCTGTGTGTTATTTACATGTGATACTAGTCCAAATTAACTTTTAATTGAATACCAATTTGTTATAAAATGAGAGTGACAAACGAGCACACGATCCACTTGATGATAAGTGTATGCTGTGACATCTGACCATTGACATTACATCTATCCTCGATTAAGAGTCAAATTGCAGATGCGTTAATTCCTAAGGATTAACATGAAATGTCACGTTTTCAGTAAAAACGTCGCCATTTATCTACACTCACGAATATAGCATTATTAAAGAAACTATAGTATTCTGAGAGAGCATGATTCTTCGCCAGTTGAACGACCCATTCGTACCACAACCATAATATAGCTACAGCGTGGCTTTACCACGTATTAATATACGTCTACTACGGTGTAAGTTATATGTTTGAATCTCGGAGGGATGCGACACTTGTGCACCTCAGATGAATTTCGTCTGAGTTGTGCACAAACACAAATTGTTATTTTAAGGGTCTGGTTGTGTTTTGTAGAGACACGCTGCAGTTTTATTATGACAGTGCAAATATGTCAGCTCCCTCAGAGACCATGCTCGTATACAGTATCAGCGGGAAGTAGCATTTTACGTGTGCTTTTTGTGTGGAATGTATACAAGAATATGAGGAAGCAAGGTTCTTAAGTTGTAACCTTGCTAGCACTAGATGGAATGACGACTTGTTAGTAGATACGGAAAGTCAACGGATAACATCACTTCCATAGCTCAGGGCCACGCTTTGTGGCATTCCTTGGGGGGGGGGGGGGGGGCGTTTGTTCAGCCGTGGACTTGTGATGATGAGTTTCAAAAAGTGTTTCCAGTGTCTGTTCTTTTTACTAATAATGAAATAAAGATCTTTGACAGTGTAGTTGCAGTGTAAGAGTATCTTCTGCTATAGTTTAAAATATTTCGAAATATTTTCGTGTACTGCTTTATAATATTCTCATTGACAAACGAGGATGCCTGTACTAAGAAATAAGACGTATTAAGACTGAAACTTTTTAACTAGCAGAGCTATATTTTTTATAGAATAAGGGTTACAAACGAGCAAACAGTTCACCTGATGCTAAGTGGATGTTGTGGCCTATAAGCAGCTGCATCTATCCGCGATTAGGAATCAAAATGCAGATGCATGTTCATCCCCGAGGACTAAGATAATCAAAAGTGCCCCCGGTTTTCCACATTCACCACATTAAACACAGCAGCATTTAAGCTGCTATTTCACGCTGGTATTCTGAGTAAGAGCTTGGTCCTTCCCCGGTCGAGTCAACCCATTGGTACTACGACCATAATATAGCTGCGGCGTGGCCCTAGCGCGTAATATATTATCTAAATTTAATAAATAAGTACGTCACAGACAACGTCCGAAGTACGAGTAAGTTATTGAAGTAATACTGTGTATAGCTCCAATCGATAATTTCATATTGGCCCGATATTTCCCCCTGAGGTAACCGTAACCACAATGTCCTGTATTTTATTTTATTATTCTCGAGGGGACTGTAAGCTTTGTTTATATGGGTAGCTTGGAAAAATATAATCAGTTTTAGGAATCTCTAGTAAAACAATCAAGCGGCCTATGTAATTGTTGCCTGTCTTTACCACAGTCATTTTATGAACGCGACACGGCCGAGGACTTAATAAAGTGCATCAAAGATAAGACTGACTATTTTGCGTTAGGCAGTGATTATAATTGTTGTGTAAGGAGGAGCGATGAGCACCTCGATGGTCGCGCGTAAATGCGACCGCTGATCCTGTAGACCTGGGTTCGAATCGAAGCCGAAATAGAGGTGTGTTTGGAGATTTATTGATGATTTTAATTTAGTTGAAACCAATCTTGTCAGCATTAAGTCCAGAGTAGCCGGCCATTCGGTATTCTACAGGGTATATTTTCCCCTCCCTTTATACAATGTAACTTCCATGTTGTCGATAATTCACGCATAATGCGTGATTCTTTTTTCAGGTATTTTAAGCTATTGCATAGCTTCTATCGCGGGCCTTGAGCGCGGGGACCGAATCCAGAAATTCCGTAACGAAAAAAAACCTCACGCTCCCCACTCCGACGGGCACGGAGGTGTGGCGTTGAAAGCCGTGCATCGTCTAACGTCGTTTTAGTTCGGCAGACTTCGGCACTCAGCAGACTTCGGCACGGTGTTTGTGTGCGTGTACACTAGCTGCTAACTCAATGATAAAAATTCCTGAATAACCTACATGTATTGTAAGATATTAAAAATATTTTAAACAATATTAACTTCTCATTTATTCAATAAGAGAAAAAAAATTGTTTTCTTATCGGTCACCACGCTCAAAAAGTGTAATTTGATTTAATATCAAAGACTTAACTGCATAAATAAAATGAATAAATAATTATAATTGCATAAGTTGATAAAAATGCTATGCAATAGCTTTACCGCGGCAGTCACCGAGTGCCACACGTATTTTTTTTCAGGTCTTTTATACTTGGTAGAGCCACGCTGCAGCTATATTATGATTGTAGCACGAACGGGTCGGTTCGACCGGGGAAGGACCATGCTCTCACAGAATACCAGAGTAAAATAGCAGTTTAACTACTGCTGTGTTTCGTATGGTGAGTGTGGAAATCCGGAGACCCTTTTTTACTGCAAACCAGACATTCCATCTTAGTCCTCAGGGGAGATGACGCATCTGCATTTTTATACTTAATCGAGGATGAATGTAGATGTCTATGGACTACAGCATCCACTTACCATCAGGTGGACTGTGTGCTCGTTTGTCACCCTTATCATATAAAAAAATTTCAAAGGTGTGGATTGATTTGCTAGCATTTGTCACTCCGTCCGATTAAGATCTGGGTGTTTCTAAGCAAGAGTGTATAGCTAGATTTTATTATAGCATTAGGTGCATGTGTAAGTGAATGCTTCGCACAGACATCCACATGTATCGCCAACTAAGAATGAAAATGCTGATGCATTGCCACCCTTGAGAACTGAGATGTAATGCCTCCTTTCCAGTAAAAAGGGTCTTCGTTTATCTACACTCACGATACGAAACACATCAGCATTTAGAGTTTTTTTTACGCTGGTATTCTGTAAGAGCGTGGTTCTTCCTCTATCGAGCCGACCCATTTGTGTTACAACCACAATATAGCTGCAGCATAGCTCTACTACGTACGTAATAGTAAGAGTTATAAGAGAGATGCTTATATCGCAATCTATTAAGAGCCATCACATTTTTCTAGCATATCCCATAGTCTTTTCTTACGACACTGTTCGGAGAGTGTACCTATAAGCTTCATAGGCTCATATCGCCATCTTTATTCGCCTATCGGAGTACCAGACGTATTGCAAGTTACCCATTGACACTTGGTTGCCATTCGAAATATTCGTACTAAGTGCTATGAATCATCTCAGCCAAGGAGTGAAATGACCTGTATTTCCGAGTGCCTATAAACTGGACCTCTTCAAGGTGCGTGTCAACAGCCTTTTCTGTAGGGCAAACTCGCTCCATCATAGACCTCATCTTTGTTTCCGGGCCAGATGGAGGTCAAGAGTGAGCAATTTTTAGTAAAAAAAAGTCGTCAGTTTAAGTCCGACATTCGACTACTCTCTGAACCACTCCTAACTCATGCATTTTTAACTTACTTGGAATACTTTACTAATTACCTTTAATATTAAACTTTTTATTAATTACTGTTTTGGCTCGTCGCTCACTTAGCGGTCAGCCACTGCTGAGTATTTCACCTGAGGATGCCTCGTTTAAAGGCGAAACACGTGTCGTATTATCAACGGTGGTGTTTCTTTCCTAGAGTGGTGGTGTTGGGATTAGTGGCGTAGTCCACACAATTGAGGGAGGGCAGGAGG